GAGGATAATTCTCGTTTTTTATTATCGCAGACTTGGTATCTCCAGAGAAATTAATTTTTGTGATACAGATTATTATCGTTATGTGTAATACTGTGACTTTTATTCCTTAACAGTGAGGAAGGTCGCTTTAGAACGGACTTATATTAACTCTAGCTCGCCACTCCGGTCCATGGTGGACCGCTGAACGTTTTTCGGCGCACGTAACGAAGCCGCGCGTATATAACGAAGAAGATGTGTAAAACACAGCTTACATTTTACTATTCTTGAGCATAATAAGTTTTTTTTTTTTTTTTTTTTTTTTTTTTTTTTTTTTTTTTTTTTTTTATTTTTAGTCACATTATATCTTCAACTTCAAATATATTAGGAACTATAAAAGAACGCCGCTTGATTCAAAGCATATTCTATTCATTGTCAGGAATTAATCCTTAAAATCCTTTACGTTTTACGTCTACAATACATCTATAATATAATACAGTCCGATTTGCTGTATCTTTCATTCCAGATGAGTGTGTGGCATTCTTAACTAAACAGGCGGCATCCCTCGACTTGCCGATCAAAGTCTATCACGTACATCCCAAGAAGCCGATTGTAGTTTTGACATGGGTGGGAACGGAACCGACGAAATCATCGATTCTCTTGAACAGTCACATGGACGTTGTACCTGTCTTCGAGGTAAGTGCTTTGACTTGCGGCAAAGATGTTGCAAATGTAAATAGCTGTTCAGTCGCGTAATCAACTTGCTGGTTCCTAATACTAATCGTATAACTGAACCCCAGGACAAATGGACCTATCCGCCATTCAGCGCTCACATGGACGAGCAGGGCAACATCTACGCTCGCGGCAGCCAAGACATGAAGTGCGTGGGAATACAGTACTTGGAGGCGATTCGCAGATTGAAACTGAAAGGACAACGCTGTCAACACACTATCCACGTCTCTTTCGTTCCAGACGAAGAGATAGGTGGTGTTCTGGGAATGAAAGCTTTTGTGCGCACCGCCGACTTCAAAGCTCTGAACGTCGGTTTTGCGCTGGACGAAGGTGCCACTAGCCGATTCGAGGAATTCTTTATGTATTACGGAGAAAGGTCGATGTGGCACGTCGAAATAAAGTGCGCGGGCAATCCCGGTCACGGGTCAATTATGCTGGACAACACGGCTGGGGAAAAATTGAGAGTCGTAATCGATCGCTTCATGGACTTCAGAGCCTCCGAAAAAGCGAAACTCACTAAAGATTCTGCAAAATTGGGTACTGGTGGCAGTGTGACGTCTGTGAATCTTACGAAAATTTGGGTAGGTATCACGGAAATATAGTTTTCGCTAAAAAATTTCATTTAAAAGATATTTATCATTTCGTTTATGTATATGAATCACGAATATAAATCATTATGTCTGTCTTTCCTTTTATTTACTTTTATGTTGAATTTATGTATATAGAAATTTCAAATATTAAATAAGATTTTATACTTAATTTATGTACTAATGAAGAAGACACAAAAAAATTGATTAGCTATAATTTTCAAGCCATT